CTGAAACTATTACAAATTACATTTTGCTGTGAAATATCAAAGTTAATCTTCATTTCTAACCTAACTTTTCGGTATTTAGCTCAGCTTCTGCTATCAGGCTTGCAATAAAGCTTTAATCACTACTACAAAAGCTCAGACTGCTGTTTACCCTTTAAAGAATAAGCTAACAAAGCCTCCAAATGCTTCACTCACATAAGTGGTTCTCAACAATCTATGTATCCACTTCATATCTGATATTTCTGGCTTTGGAAACATTAAAAGCCATTAAAACCTAGATGGTAAACCAGCTAGCCAGGCAGTGTTGAAGAAGTTCACATTTACTTAACACACCTTCAGACTGTAATTACTGAATCAGTAAGGCTGCAATTAGACTAATGAAGTCTTAACATGGAGGGGGGTCGGGGGGTGGGAGACACGGGACACACCATGATCTCACAAAGGTGTTCTCTGTTATAAAAATCATTAGTACAAGTTACATAGCATGCTTCTCCACTCCTGTATCTACCAGAAGCTCATACTACCACACCCTAAAATAAAGAAAAAATGTATACGTCCTCACATTGAAATAAGTTTACTGTAATAATGGATTTTTAATTAATTACAGATTACAATTTATTGATTATATATTATTAATGTCCTGAGTTCGGTTTGTTTTCTCCCTAGTAAATTATGACAGATGTCTGCAACTTCTTTTTTTTAAATTAATTATCAGTATGGCAATCAAAGTGTTTAAAAAACGTAAAGAATTTACTTATATCCTCTCTGACATAAAGGATGTGTTATCAGTAACTCCAAGAACAAAGGGCAACTACAGCATAAATTGCCGGTGAAAAAGCACAAAATGTACCCTTCTTACAGGACTGTGGAAGGCTTCCAGAAAAAGTATGTTTGATTATTACCTTTTTTTTTTTTTTTTTTTTTTTTTAAAGTTAAATCATCAAAATGTTTCAGCACTTAGGGACTCCATTCTAAACTGTCTAGCCTTTCCAAACCCATCTTTCATTAGGCAGTTCACACAGCAAACCACCTAATCGCCCTCTTTAAGCAATGCTGTCCAGTGGATAGAAGAAACCTTAATCCTTCCTCAAAGATTTTTCAAGAAGTGAAATTAGAAAGATGACATTTGCCAGAGCTTTGCCCTTCAAGATTACTATACATAGAACCAGAACAGGCCCTCTTATTATTCCCTGAGAAAGTTTGAAATTTAACTTAATCTTTTGATGTCTTTATTTAACAACACATTTAAAAGACTGATGAAGAGCCAAGTATGACTGCAACATACTCAGCAATAAGAATACTACCATAGTGTGCAAATTCTTGTATCTCACTGACTAGTCACTGATACTTCACAGTTTGCAAACAAATTCAAACCCACTACTTGAGAGTAGTACAACTGACTATACTGTGTTTTACAACTGGTATTCTACTCCTCCTTAACATTGATACTGTGCCAAACTAATAGGTATTGCATTTATTTACTACAATTACTTTAAAATTCTGTCAAATTAAACATAATATTGACATTTAAATAATAAAACCATAACAATTCAGAGAAATACTAGGTTTAAAAGTCAAGCATTCCACTACTAAAACAATGAATTCTAAAGAACTTATTAGAAATGCAGATTTAGGCAGGTATCAGTATTAAAAAAGAAAAAAATCTTAGTCTTAATTAATTCCATCACAGTTCCCACTTGATGACACTGCAGGTATGTACAAATGTTTATTTACTAACACAAATGGAACAAAGCATACCTTTGTGGAACTACTTTCAGTAATTTTTGCTAGCTGCCAAAGGATTACATAATGAGTACACTGCAGTGCATGAATAACAATCTGAAATCAAAAGGAAAAAACACATTAGATGACAAAGGCCAATAAAAGACAGCAACAAAAGCTATTCATTGTTGTACCTAAAGAACACATTTTAACTACAGACCTGTTCTGGCATGTCTCCATTTTCAATGCCAGTTTTCAGTAACTTGTAGTTGCAGCCAAACAAGTCCCATCTTGATAGGTCATGAGCACTGGAAGTATTAGAAATGAAGCAAAGATGTAACTTAACTAACACCATTTCTGGAATTTGATGCTAACAACTACTAAAAGCTTAACTTGTCTAAAAAATAAAAAAAAATACACACACACCACCCCAAACAAACCATAAATACCCCCCAAATCCCAACAAAAAACACCCCCAACAATAACACACAAAACAAACCAACCCACAAAGCAAAAAAAACCCAGAATATTTAAGTTTTGTATATATTTCTTCATATATTCAAAATGTGTCATATTCTGCACAACTCTCATTCACACTAAAAAAACCCACCTCCAAGTTGCATTAAAAAGTTAAGAAACAGTAAATTAAAAACAACCAAAACCAACCCCCCCACACCACAAACCATAACAGATGTTTGTAGAAGCCTACTTACTTGTGAAAAGCCGTGATTCTCTTCAGTGTTGACAAGACTTGATATGCATCATCTTCATCAGGTTCCTCCCCCTATTTAATAATCATATAGTAAGATACTGCAAGCAATGTATGCTAAGCAAACTAGAACTGAAGATTTTTTTAAAAAAAAAAAAACCCCAAACCCAAAATACCCTCCCCAAACCCAACCACCAAAAAAAGAAAAAAAGAAAAAAAAGAAAAAAAAAAAGAGAGAGAACTACATCTAAATTATTTATCAATGACACATTTGGTTTTAGAAGAGTTAAAGAGTTTGAGAGAGAAGGTAACCGTTCATGTTTCGAAACAGTCAGCAGCACAAGGAGAAATAAGGGAGGGGGGGTGAGGAGGAGGGAGAAAGAAAAAAAAGAAAAAGTCTAAGGATAGCAGAATACAATGTATTATGTAGGTGCTTCAATTTTCTCCGAAGAATCCAGCAGAGGCCACTGTCAGACAATAGATGCTGGACTAGATGGGCCACAGGTCAGCACCTCAATCTTACTTTAATCACAGGAAAAAAAAGTCTTTGAGAGAGGTAAGGGAAGTGTTTTGTTCTAATATTCCCCCAAGTTCTGACAAACTTGCATTTGGAGAAAGAAAAGGAGTAAAAAGCAAAGGGTCCAGAAAATATCTATTTAAGTACGTAGGATAAACTATCTAAGGTCACAGAAACTCCTCCTCGGTGTATCAGAGATACTGCAAGTCCAATGCATTTTACTGTTCTGTAGTTGCAAAACCTTATCAAAGCACTATGGTTTTCAACACTTCTCCCCAGTATTTGCCATTTTCCTTCAAGCTGTCTGACTTTTCATTTCTTTGCTTTACCTCTCATTCTTTCTTTTTTCTCATAAAGGAGAAAATAAATTGTATTACTAGGCACACTTCTTACAGTCCACATATGTCTAGCGTTTCTAGAGTGGAGTCCTAGTTCAGGCCAGTAGGCAAGTGGAACAGGAGCAAAGCTTGACAAAATAAATATGCATCTGAGAAGTGTGGAGAATGAAGTCGTCAAAAAGACTCTTCCCATGCTCCTTATCACAGATGAGGAGGAAGAGAAACAAGTTTTGTCTGAATGTCAGAGATCCCACATAGTGCAGTTAAATACTGTATCAGAAAATTCTCACTCTTCAGATTAGCAGTGTGGGAACAAAGTGATTTTTAAGCTATTAACTACATCTGCTTGCATTTAGGAAGGGAGGGCGAGTGTTTTCTAGAGATTTTGATACTTAACAGCAGCAACATGCAATCACGGGCAAGACTAGCAACACTAGTACATCTGAGGAGAATCCTAGTGGAACTACAATGCTACATCTCAAAAACATGAGCTTCAAAACCTAAAGGTGAAAAGTTTATGTAATTTCATAGTTTATCTGACACTTATCTCAAATTCCCAAAAGACACCTGTCAAAAGGAGATTAAAATTAAAGACTCACTGTCCTAATATAAAAGAACAGTCTGAGGTCACATAATCACAGCAATGATACTGTTGTATTATTGAGCTTGACTTAAGAGTTTTGAAAGTCAGAGAGGAGTTCCCATCCCTAACTCATTGACTTGCACAGGAAGCAGAAAATCATACTGGAAGTATTTACAGGGGCAGGAAAAGTTGATCTTGCACTTTAAAATACCTCTTGCAGGAAGTCTTCAAGAAGTCGATTAAACTTGTCTGCCAATTCATCTATCAACTGACTTCTTGCAATGTCAACCCTGTTAAAGATTGTGAATTCTTCATTACAGAGAGCGTGGTATGTTTTTGAACAGGCTTCCAAAACATCTATATCTGTGTGCTTCTCCACAATATCCCGGATTTGTCGCAGTAAGGCATCCAAATGCTACAAGAAAGACGAGGCGTGGAAAAAAAAATATGTATTCATATATACATATACACACATGTGCGCATGCATGTATTTTTAATAAACCTTAAGAAATTTCAGAAGACATATTTATTACTTTTGTAACTATGATACAGAATACAATTCTAGAAAGCCAGTGAAGCTTCTGAGTAAATTAAAAATCTACTTAGCAAAAACTAAGTAGGAGCTTGTCAAAGGCTAAAGATTCTATGCATTTTCAAAAGTCATTGAAAATTTGCAATTGTTGATATGGTATTCTCTAACACTTGAATTTGCAATGACAACTGAACGACACAGAAGCATTTATCTCCCACTCACACAAACATTTATACACTGTCTTAAAAGCTGTATAATTGAAAATTTAGTTTCATAACACTCAAGTGTCAGCACTGAAACCAACTTCAGTTGTTCTTATATGCCTCCCCTCAACCCGAGTTGCTCACTGCTGCTCTATCACTGCTAGACTACACTGTCAACTAAACATTTTATTACTTTTTTCAGCCTAACAATTTCCAGCTACTTGCTACACAATACAGCAAAACAGCGCACCTGAGAAGGAGAAAACAGAGATGAGAACAGCTTATACCAACTTCATCACCATAGCAGATAAAATGAGAGCAGTAACTACATAATTTGTGATTTGGTAGTTTTATCCTTTTTCATGCAATGAAGATGGTGGTTTGTTAGTTTCAGTGATCAGAAAAAAACTTATCAAGCTATTCCTACAAGCTTTATCTGTCAGGCAGCACACCTCAAACATGACCATAACCCAACAATAAAGGCTCTTCCATAAAGTTCATCTAACTGGCAAGATTCTCTGTTAAAACTCACTGGACAGGCCTTAGAAAACTCAAACTTTCAGTATCTCTAAGAACAGCAGCCAGTCACAGCTCTGAAGTCCAAGTCTCATTCTCAGTAAGGGTTATGATAAAGTCTCACGCAAAAAAAAACGCACCTACAATGGTGACTGAAATTCCAGTGACTAGGTCTAAATTCTGAGTTTTCTCCTTTTGTGTTAGGTGTTATCGAATGTTACCTTACCTTCTCTAGTCGCCCTGTTGTATAAATTTCCAAATCAAAGTACTGTGGCAACTGCAATAAGTTGGTGACTTTTTCTGCATCTACAGAATACTGTAAAATTGACAAGGAAAAAAGTTTAAATGATAGAGTCCTGGACAACACAATCTGTTACAGAACAACCAAATATTAATAAAGACTAAAAAGAAAAAAAAAAAAAATGAAGACTTGTGCAAGCCATACAGTTAATTACAGAAACTATACTTGTTAACATTTCAACAACAGCCCATCAGCAAGAAATGGAATTAAACCTACCTTTGCTAGCAACTGAGGAAGTGCCACTGCAAAAAGTTCAGTAATTTTTGTCCTGTCATCCAACTGGGTTTTCTTTTCCTTTGCTGTCAGTACCTAAAATATTGGTATTGTGAAGATTTTACAACTAACAGTTCTGGTGCAAAGTTTCATTATCATTAATGAAATGACAGTTAGGTACACAGACCTTCTAGTATTGCTGTAGAATATCAATATTAAAAAAAAAAGTAAATAAAAAAAAGCATTCAGCACTCAAAAAACACAATTCAAAGTTACACCTAACACTACTGAGATTGTCACTTCTGTTGTCAAGATAATCTAGAACAAAAGGCTTACCTTCCCCGCAACAAAACACCATGATCAGAATGCTTTTCTTGACAATGAAGGAACATCAAACCTTTCAGCTTGCTTACAATTTGTAATATTTACTCAATTCATATGTCAATCTGATCTTCATATAAGTTTTCAATCTGTACCTAAGTGGGTTTCTTACCAAAAGCTGCACCAGTCTTGAAAGTAGTTCCCTTCCCCGCTTAATGCCCCAGTGAAAGAGGGCTGCCTAATCTCTGTATGATCAGAGAAAATCCAATTGATGGACTGTCTTCATTCCAAAGAGACTATGAAATATATTGCCTTCCCTCATTTTACTCTTTCAAATTGAAAATAGTTCTAGCTTTCCTAAACACTGATTTTGTTCTCCTTTCCAATGAATACTTCTTTCAAAACGCATTTTGTATTACCCTTAACAGTAAAACCAAATGCAGTAGTCCAAACAGTATGAAGCATGTGCCAAAGTCCAGAAAAAGTGAACAAGCCAGGGTAGTCAGATACTGGAGGCTGTGGAGACTGAAGCTGAATTTCTGAATTCAGTCCCTTCAGCAGCAACCGCCTATACAACCTCTTCCTTCTCCCCACAATGTCCTCACATCTCCAGCCGAGTAGTTTTTTGCTTCCTACCCTTTTTCCTGTTCCTCTTCCCACAGGAGGATGACATTCAGCTGCTTGCCGAATTGTACAAAGCATTATTTCAATCAGTGCGCTTTCCTGTCTATCCGTTAGAGCTGAAATTTAAGAAACAGATGTTAATACATAGCTTGATTTTTCAGTTTCTACAAGTATTAATCTAAGGATCAAAACATGTTTGTTTGTTTAAAGAAAAAAAAACAAAGGCATTTAGGCCAATAGCTCATTTGCAGGGGTGGGGGTGGCACAGTGGACAGAGAAGATAAGCACCTTATGAAACAACACAAGAAAATATTTAAAACTGAGGGAATACCACTGGATGAGTCACAGGATAGGATGAAACAAATACGCAGTTTTATAATCATTTTAGCCCCTTTTCATTTTTCAGAGGTCCATTTACTAGGACCTATGAATTACAGAATTGTGCCGGGGGTTGGTTTGGCTTTACTGTCATTAAAGAAATGATTGTATTTTTCCGTAGGGTAGTTCTAACACTCTGTAAATGAACCAGTTTCACAAGCAACTTAGTTTCTGTAATGCCAGAAGTGCAGCCTGAACCTGTGGAACAACAGAGCAACTGGACACTGCATATTTATTCCCTCTCTTTTCTCCCTCTTTTCTTCCTACCATTGTTCTTCTGTGTCTCACTTCCATACCAGAAGTGATCTCTTTCTACTCTTCCTCACATTTTATAATTAGTTAGTGATTTGTTATAGTCATGTAAAAACAGAGAATATACGGGGACTCATAAATGTAAACATCTTATAAATCAAGACTAACAGAAACTGCATAGCAATATAAAGATCTATGAAAATCTCTTACGTTCTTCTCCATTGAGAGGCTCCTCCAACAGAAGACTGTTCATACATTCCCAGTCCTTCAAGAGGTCTGTTGCACAGTCCCACATGCTGTCCACAAGATAAGCAGCATGTTCATGCAACTAAAATGAGAACAGATTAAGTATTTTTCTTTGTCAGCAATAAAGTTTGTTACAGAACTTGCTATAATACAGGGTATTTTTCTCGCTTGGCTCCTGTCTGTGGTAAAAAACAGCAAAAATTTTGCAGGCTCTCTGCTTCAACAGAAGCCTCTCTCTCTCCCAATTAATTTAAAGAGATGAATCCAGACCAACTGCTACAAAGAGTAGCGCTACAAGATCTGTCAGAACTTGGAGGATGGGGGTGGTAGTTGTGGGGTTTTCTTTTTGTTTGTTTTGGTTCCCCCCCCCCCCCCCCAATAGATCTTGTAAATCACAATTTCTTTCCATCTATATATTAGCATGAAGAAGGACAGATGAGTATTTGTCAGAGTAGAGCTCACAACCTGTCTCAACACTGCGTACTGGACAGATCCTTCAAATAAACACAACCACACAAAACAGTCTTTCAACCCTCAGGTTGTTCAAGTAATAGGAAAACCAGGACAGATTAGTGGTTATTAACTAATGAGTGGGGAAAAGAAAAACAACAACAAATTAAAAAAAAAACAAACCCAAACAAACAACAACCCAGAAACCGAACAAAAACAAAAAGCCAAAACACACACCACAAAAACAAGGATGTCCCTGAAACTCAACTTACTTCACTTTCCAAAAAGAAAAACACTAATGTCTTCACAAGATTAGCATTTGGACTTTGTCTTCCCCTCCTTTTAAGCATTCCATCATCTTCAGGATCTCTGCGGCTGAAAAGCCTAAAAGAAAAATTATTTCAGCGCAAGTTTCTTCTTCATTGCCTTTGCCACAGTCAATTCATATCAAGACCTATTTTTTACAGACACACACTTAATACCTTGCTGCTTGGCTCCACATTTTATTTTGAAAGGAAGTAATTTGGGACAAGTATCATTTGAACAATTTCATATATGCTGAGTTGGTATTACACTGACTGTTTCCAGTGGAATGTATAATTATAACAAAATACTTTACAAACATCAGTGATCATTGCAGGTGCTTGAGGCCTATGTTCCTCTTTAGCAAATTACATTTTCTGAACCTCCCCACAAAAGACTTTAAAGCAGCAAAGAAATACTGAAAGAAGGTCTGAAAAGTATTAGATG